CTTCCTTAGCTTGCCTGTGAGAATATTGTGGGAGATCATATCAAAAGTTTTGCTTAAGTCAAGGTACACATCCACTGGTCTCCCCGCATGCACAAAGCCAGTCATCTCATCATAGAAGGCAATCAGGTTGGTCAGGCATGACTTGTCCTTGGTGAATCCATCCTAATCATCACCTTCTCCTCCAAGTGCTTAGAAACAGATTCCTTGAGAACCTGCTCTATGACTTTTCCAAGGACTGAGGTTAGGCTGATGGTTTGTAGTTCCCTGGATCCTCCTTCTCCCCTTTCTTACTGATGGGCACTATATTTGCCCTTTTCCAATCATACACGACCTCTCCTGATCGCTGTGAGTTTTCAAAGATGATGGCCAGGAGCTCTGCAATCACATCAGCCAAGTTCCTCAGCATCCTTGGGTGTATCCTGTCCAGTCCCATGGACTTGTACATATCTAGTATTTCTAAATAGTCCCTAGCCTGTTCTTTTGCTACAAGTAGCTGCTCACCTCCTCCCCAAACTGTGCTGCCAGGTGCAGTAGTCTAGGAGCTAACCTTGCCTGTGAAGACAGAGGTGAAAAAGGCATTGGGCATGTCTACACATGCATTTAAGCACGACTAGATTTACTGTGCATTAAGCTAATGCACAGTAAACAATTCTGGGCAGGTGTCTATATATGCAGGGACCTGGCATTAGATTTAATGCCATGTCCTTCCAGCCCTGCCATGTGCCCCTGTGGCCACTGTGGGAGATCCAGCCTCCGGTCCCAGCTGTCAGCACTTGGAACCCATGTTTGAAGCCAGGTCAGCTGCCAGCACTTGGCAGCCACCTTTAAAACACAGCCTTACTCTGTGATCTCTGGGCAGCCAGTTCCAGTGTTTAGATGAGCAGCATGGCATGCACAGAGGCAGCATGTGGCATCTCTGCTTGTGCCCCCTCTCCATTCCTGAGTTATGACTGCCCCAGACCCTGGCCCTGGTAGTAAGGGACAGAGTATCCCAATCCTGCTGGCCACCTTGGTTGCCCTGCTGGCCCACTGCACTCATCATCACCTGGCCCACAGCCATCTTGCTCTACCCATCTTGCTCTACCCTCCATGTGTCCTCCCAGGGCCTCTGCTGCTGCGCAGCTCCTGCTACCAGCCACATTGATAATGGGCTCCAGGAGGCCACCACCATCCTCCTGGCTCTCCATCCCCACCACCTCTGGGCCACCCATGCCAGCCGGGACTGGTGGCAGCACCTGGTGCAACATGACTGGGACGACAAGCAGTGTCTTGATGCCTTTTGCATGACCCAGGCCATCTTCCCCAACCTGCTCCACCAGCTCCAGCCCCACCTAGAATGCCAGGATACTGGCATGAGCATGGCCCACCCTGCTGGCACCCATCTGGCTATGGCACTGCTCAGGTTGGCCACTCCCGCCAGCCTGCAGTATGTGGAGCACTTGTTCAGGGTTGGCAAGGCCACCACTGGGGAAGGCCATCCTGGAGATATGCAGCACCCTCCAGGATGTGCTGGTGGATACCATCCTCCACATCTGCAACCCCCAGGCAGTGGTCACAGGGTTCTGTGCACAAGGGTTCTCCCAGTGTATTGGGGCCCTGGACATGATCCACATCCTGGTGACCTGCCCACCCAATGGAGACCAGCCCTAATATAACCGCAGGAGGTTCCACTTAGTGGTCCTGCAGGTAGTCATTGATCTACAGGGACCCTTCACCAATGTCAGCGCCAGCTGGGTGGACAGCGTGCACAACATGCATCTTCAGGAACTCTGGCCTGGGCGTGCTGGTGGAGAGCAGGTGCTTTGTGCTGGGAGTGGAGGACCTGCAGCTGGGTGCCATTGTCATTCCATCCCGCTCATCAGGGTCCCAGCATACTTGCTTCTCCCGTGGCTGATGAGGCCCTACACTGGGCACCTGGACCCCTGCTAGGCCCACTTTAATAGGTGTCTTGGCCAGACCCATCCCCCTATCAAGAGCTCCTTGAGCTGCCTCAAGGGCTGCTGGTGGTTCCTCACTGCCCACATTGCCATGGCTGAGAACAACCTCCTCCAGGTCATCATAGCAGCTTGTGTGCTGCACAATATTTGCAAGGCCCAGGGAAAGTTGTTCTGGGAGGCCTGGGCAGAGGAGGCATGCCGGTCAGAGGCAGCCTAGTGGCGGGAGCATGAGCTGCAGAGGCAGCAGCAACGGTGGGTCCCCCCTGGTGAGGCCCCAGGTGAGCCGCACACCCACCAGCAGGGGGCAGGGCACTGCATGCAGGATGCTCTGGCGGACCACCTCCTGGAGCACTCCCCACTCTAGCCCACCTGCCCCACCACCCATACACCCCCTACCCACTCCCAGCACCACTCTCAGGCCAGGCACATGTTGTGACAAAAAAGCTTTATTCCCTTCACAATACCCACCCCCATCTCTCCCCCATCAACATGAGTCCCCTCCTCCTTCAATCAATAGCCGGAGGAAAAGCAAAGGCAACATTGGACCCCTGCTAAACCAGATGAGACAACAACTGACAACCGATGCCCATGAAAAAGCAAACTTGCTAAATGGGTACTTTGCATCAGTTTTTCACCAGTTCCATGGGACACCCCTGCCCACTGTGGGACAGGGAGGCCCAGGTGAGGGAGATTCTTTACCCTCCATCAAAGCTGACCTCGTGAAGGAACACCTTGACAGGAAGGATACCTTCAAGGCAGCCAGCCCTGATGGCTTACACCCAAGGGTACGCAAGGAGCTGGCCAGCATCATAGCTCAGCCCCTGGCACGGCTCTTAGAGAACTCCTGGCGCTCTGGTGAAGTGCCCAAAGATTGGAAGAGGGCCAATGTGGTGCCTATCTTCAAGAAAGGGAGGAAAGTAGATCCAGCAAACTACAGGCCCATCAGCCTGACCTCTATCCTGGGGAAGGTCTTGGAAAAGATTATCAAAGAGGCCATCCTTAACAGAGTAGCTGAAGGCAATATCCTGAGGGATACCCAGCATGGGTTTGTTGTGGGTAGGTCTTGCTTGACCAATCTCATTTCCTTTTACGACCAGGTGACATATCACCTGGACAAGGGGGAAGAGACTGATGTCATATATCTTGACTTTAAAAAAGCCTTCGATCTGGTATCCCATGATCACCTCTTGGCAAAACCAGCTAACTGCAGCCTCGACCTCACCATGATCTGATGGCTGGGGAATTGACTCCACGGTAGGACCCAGAGGGTGGTGGTTGACAGAAGCCAATCGTCTTGGTGCGTGGTCACCAGTAGGGTCCCTCAAGGCTTTGTCCTTGGGCCTATATTGTTTAATATCTTCATCAATGATGTAGACATTGGTGTCAGAAGCAGACTGGCCAAGTTTGCCGACAACACCAAACTCTGGGGTAAAGCATCCACACCTGAGGACAGGAGGGTGATCCAGGCAGATCTTGACAGGCTCAGAAAATGGGTGGATGAGACCCTGATGGTGTTCAACACCAAAAAATGCAAGGTTCTTCACCTTGGCAGGAAAAATCTGCAGCATGCTTATAGGCTTGGCAGTGCTACGTTGCTTAGCACTACAGATGAAAGGGACTTGGGGGTCATGATTGACCACAAGATGAACACGAGCCTTCAATGTGATGCTGCGGCTAGTAAAGCGAGCAAAACGCTGGCTTGCATCCATAGATGTTTCTCAAGCAAATCCGGGACGTCGTTCTCCCATTGTACTCCACCTTGGTGAGGCTGCAGCTGGAGTACTGCGTCCAGTTTTGGGCTCCACAATTCAAACAGGATGTGAAGAAGCTTGAGAGGGTGCAGAGGAGAGCCACACGTGTGATCAGAGGTCAGGAAAACAGACCTTATGATGAGGCTGAGCCATGGGACTCTTCAGCCTAGAAAAGTGCAGGCTCAGGAGTGATCTGGTGGCCACCTATAAGTTTATCAGGGGTGCTCATCAGGATCTGGGGGAAAGTCTGTTCACCAGAACGCCCCAAGGGATGACAAGATCAAATGGTCACAAACTCCACTGCGACCAATTCAGGCTGGGCATAAGGAAGAACTTCTTTACTATCTGAGCCCCCAAGGTTTGGAATAGAGTTCCACTGGAGGCAGTTCAAGCACCCACTTTGAGTGCCTTCAAGACACATTTGGATATTTATCTTGCTGGGATCCTATGATCCCTGCTGACTTCCTGCCCAGGGGGCAGGGAGTTGGACTCGGTGATTCTCCAGGATCCCTTCCAGCCCAAATGTCTATGAAATCTATGAAATAGAGCCCCCTCCCCTCTCGCCCCTCAACCAACAGAGCCCTTCCACTACCCTCCAACAATAAAAATACCTGATTCCCCATGTCAGAACTATATACAACAGTTTCAGTCTCTGTTTGTGAGTCCCAGAGTGGGGAGCCATGGGGTGGGGCCATCAAGGGGGCAGGCACGTGGCACTCCAGCCTCTCACCAGTCCCTCATGGATCAAGGGGGCCACAGTGACCACAGTGGGCAGGGAGCTTGTCTCTGGGTGATGGTGGCTGGGGCTCCTCTGGGACAGGCCACTCCAACTCCAGCTGCTCAAGTCCAGGGCCAGCAGGACTAGCATCCCTTTCTTGTGTGTGCCACTCCTAGCACCTCCAGCTTCATGCCCATGTGGAGCCAGGGCAAACAGCGAGCCTGGGCCCAGGCAGGTGGCAGCAGACTCAGGGCTCCTGAGGGTGAGAGTTGCTGGAGGAATTCCTCCCAGCCCCAGGCAGGGGCCTGCTGCGGAGCAGCGGGTGAGTACCAGGGGCCCTTCAGGACCACAGACAGGGAATGGGCAGTGGGAGGCACAAACGCAAACACCAGGCCCAGGAGGGTGTCCAGGGTCCAGTGGTCATCATCTGTATCCTCCACTACCCAGGCCCTCCACTTGCTGCCTGAGCAGCTGGATCTGCTCCTGCTCCAGGGCCAGGAGATCAGCTCAAAACTCCTGCTCCGCCTGGTCTCGTGCATCCTCCTGGGTGGCCTCCCAGGTAATATCCTCTTCCTGCTAGGACTGTGCCCATACCTCCCACTCCTTGGCCACCTCCACCAGCCACTGGAGCAGGAGGGTCCAATCTTGTGCGTGTTGTTGGTGCATGCGGAGGGCTCCAACGCCATGTGGTGGCAACCTGGAGTCCACATCCCTGCTTGGGCTGGTGGCCTCTCCCCCATGTCCAGATGCTGCCCCTGCAGAGACAAGAGACAGAAGCCTTTTGTGAGTTTGCAACATTTCAGAGAGAAGATGCTCTGCACCAGAGGCCATGTGCTGCCCGGCCTCAGATCAGGGGTCAGGCATGCACGGGCCCATGGTATGTCTGGCTTGGCAGGCCCAAGCACAGGTGACCACCAGCTGAGCCCCCCGTTCCTACTTTCTCCCCTGGGACTGGCGGGTCACCGAATGCCTGCTTCCCCCACCTCCTTCTTAGGACAGCACAGGTCAGCTGCTGCCACAGCTCGACCCTGCTTCCCCACTCTCCCCTTGCAGGCCAACTGCTTTGCTGCACTGCCACCCAGCCCATGGCTCCTGGGCTCGGGGCACGTGGGGCTCCTTGACAACTGGGGCAAGAAGCTGGTTGTACCCACACACTCCCTGCCAAGGGCTGGGCCCCACTCCCCGCACCACCGCTGTCCCCGAGCGTGCCCCTGCTGCATGTGCCCTGGGTGGTGTGCAATGAGCTGTTTGTGCAGGCTCAGGGGGATCTGACCCACAATGCCCTGGTGCTGCTGATCCTCCTGGTGCCCCTGGCACCTGGTTTGGAACCCTGAGCTATGATGGCATGGGAGGCAAGCCTGGGCTGCCCTGCAACCTCCGCCGCTTCCTAGAGGGCTAGCTGTGGCAGTGCTATATGTCCCTGCCCCCCACTATCAAGGAGGACATCGCTGCCAGCATTGGCACCTTCCTCAGTGTGACAGGCCTGTGCCCACCCAGCTGTAGGGATGCGGGCTGATAAATAAGGTTTTGAATGATGTCCTGCCTGTCTGTGTGCTGTGTGGGGAGGGAACCCAAGGCCAGGTGAGTGTGGGTGGGCAGGGTGGGGAGGGGAGGGGGATCAGAGGCAAGAGCAGGGGTAGGGACTGGGGCCAGGGCCAGGGCCGGGGGCAGGGGCCAGGGTGGGGACTGGGGCTTGGAGGGCCCTCCCCCCCGTGTGGGACTTACCCCATGGCCAAGGCTGGTGGCTCAGCGTGAGCCTCTCCATCGGCGATGGCATCCAGCTGCATCCAGTGTCTGCAGCCCATGGTGTGTTGCAGGCTGGTGCCCAAACAGGGCGCCCCCCCGGGACGAGCTGGTGCTGCTGGCAGCGACATGGCCAGCGGCTGCCTTGGTCCCTGCACAGCCTGAGACCCTACCACAAGGAGCAGATGGCTAGGGCTCCCTGAGCTGCTAGTGGATGTAGAAGCTGGGGAGATGGGCTGGGGAACTGGGAAGCACCTAAGGGCCCCTCCTCTGGTGATCTGTCACTGGAGGGATGAGGGTGGGTTGGGGCCTCAGGCAGGCCACCCCTGCTGGTGAAAACTTCAGGGTTATCGCCTGGACCCTGGGGTACCAAAATGTTGGTCAGCTGCCACATAAAGGGCATGGTCTTAGGGGCATGACCAGACTAATGATTGTGGTCGGTCACAGCCACCCACTGTGCCCACAAAGCCTGATATTTATGCAGCACTGCCACATCAATTGGGAGTGCCTGTGCTTCCACATCCCACCTGACAAGGCCTCATAAATGTGGGTATTTGAACACCCACCCCACACAAACTGCCTCTGGACCTCTGCATCACCCCAGAGCACTACGAGGTCCCCAATCTCTTCCTGGCTCCAGCTGGGGCCCCGGGTGGATGGCATGGGCATGCATGAGTGGGAGGGGCCAGGCCTCGATGGGAAAGATGCAGAAGACATTGTGCATCCTGTGCCAACTCTCTGGGCCTCCACACAGTTGCTCCTGTGTTGCCAGCCCTGGGCAGCTGCCAACAGCGCCCAGAACAGGGGTACAGCAAGCGACTGAGAGCCACACGGCTGAGGCTATGTCCCACAGCACCTGCAGTGCCAGGGCAGGCTGCTGGGGTTGAGCAGCAGGAAGTTGGTACAGAGGCAGCCAGCAAGCAGCCCCGAGGAGCTATCAGGGCTGGCCACAGGGTGCAGCAGGCCTTTTCAGCACCCACCTGGCCTGACAGGAGTGCCCTGGCACCTGTGTGGCCCTGCAGTGGCCTGGAAGCAGCTCTGGCTTCCAGCCAATACAGGCTGAAAGCCTGTGCCCTGTCCAGGGGGGCACATGGGGCCTGCAGTGCTCCTGTAGAGTGTACAAGTTCATGTAGAGTCCTGGTGTGTGTGCCCCAGGGCACAAAACGGCTGCAGGCTTTTATAGCCTGCATCTAGGGGCTGCTACAGAAGCAGCCCAGCCCTAGGGCAGGAGAGGCTTCCAGCCAGGAGCCCTAAGGCTGGGCTCAAGCAGACCCCCTAGTGGCCAGGCAGACCTGGCACTAAAACTTAGTGCCGGGTCACATCTACACATACATTACTGTGTATTAACTAATCACGACTAAATTTGATACTTGCATTTACAGGTATCAAATTTAGTCACAACTCGCCATTTTTACAGTACAGTAAGGGCCTGCATGGTAAATTAAGCTAATGAGCGTTAACGCATCTTGTGAGTACTTCAGTTTTTCTGCATCCTGTCACTAGGTTGCCTCCCCTATTCAGTAAGGGACCCATACTTTCACTGATCCTCCACTTGTTACTGACATACTTACAGAAACCTTTCTTGTTACCCTTCACATCCCTTGCTAGCTGCAACTCCAATTGTGCTTTGGCCTTCCTGACTTCATCCCTGTGTACCCGAGCAAGACTCTTATACTCCTCCCTAATTGTCTGTCCAAGTTTCTGATTCTTATAAGCTTCTTTTTGTGATTTAGCTAACTGAAGAGTTCCCTGCTAAGCCAAACTGGTCTTCTGCCATACTTGCTAGTCTTCCTGCACATCAGGATGGCTTATTCCTGCACTCTCAATAAGGTTTCTTTAAAGTATAGCCAGCTCTCCTGGACTCCTCTCCCCCTTCAACTGGCTTCCCAGGGCACCCTGCCCATGCATTCCCCGAGCAAATCAAAGTCTGCTTTCCTGAGGTCCAAGGTCCTTACTCTGCTGTTCTCCATTGTTCTTTTCCACAGGATCCTGAATGCAACCATCTCGTGATCGCTGCTGCACAAGTTGCCATCCACTACTACATTCCCCACCAATTCTTCCCTGTTTGTAAGTAACAGGTCAAGAAGAGCATGGCCCCTAGTTGGCTGCTCCAGCACTTGCACCAGGAAGTTGTCCCCAGCACTCCAAAAACTGCCTGGATTGCTTGCACACTGCTGTATACCCCTCTCAGCAGATGTCAGGGTGATTGAAGTCCCCTATGAGAACCAGGGCCTGCGATTGGGAAGCTTCCACTAGCTGTTTGAAGAAAGTCTCATCCACCACATCCTCCTGGTCTGGTGCTCTACAGCAGACCCCCACCCTGATATCACCCATGTTGCTCTCCCCTCTGACCCTAACCCAGAGACTTTCAACAGGCCCATCTCCAGTTTCATACTGGAGCTACGAACAATCATATGGTTCTTTTACATAAAGTGCAACTCCTCTTCCTCCTCTTCTCCCTTGCCTGTCCTTCCTGAACAGTTTATACCCATCCATGACAGTGCTCCAGTCATGCAAGCTATCCACACACAATGTAATAGTAGCCACTACTTTCTTTTTAAACACAGATATTCAGGATGCATAAAACTGGCCTGATCTGACTCTTTACCAATACAAGTAAAACTCTTAAGGGGACAGACTATTTTTACCGGTTTGGCTGCTGACCTATCTTTCCTGCTGTCAGTGCTTCAACTGGTTCATTGTCTACCTTTTCTTCTAATTATATCTGGGAAAAGTAAGTCACTAGACTTATTCTTACAATTTTTTCAGGGTGGGATCTCTCATTTGGATCATGCTGCTCTGCTGAACATACTAATCTTTCTTTGTGACTTGTTCAGTAACAAGCTCCTTGCTGACACATTACAGACATTTTTTTCATTATCAATTGTACTCTTGCTTAGTTCTCACTTATGTAAACATTCACTCTATGTCTTCTCTCTGCCCATGTCTCGTTATTATAGATGTTATTGATGTTTCTTCCCAAGAAGACGCACACACACATGTATTGGACTGAGTAGTAGTAACCTTGCTTTCTGCCTGTGATGTGAGAATGCAGAGTGGTGACTCTCTGTTCAGCTTCTGCCAGTTGTCTTCTCCCTAGGCCATGCGTTCTGGAGAGAACACAATCTACATAGATATCCCAGAAGAGCTGTGCCAGGTCCCAGAACAGAGCCCCATGCTTTAAATTTTCTGATGACTTCAGGAAGATCATAAAGTCCCAAAAACCAGTGACAGAGTCAGAAATCCGTGGCTTCCTCATTTCCAGCAAGATAGCTGAGGAGGACTCCCAGCACTGAGGATCAGCTCGTCCAAGTGCCAATGGATCAATTTGGCTATGGCAGAAGAAAGGCGTTACACAAAATACTCCCATGATGAACACAAAGCAGGTAAGTCTCATGTTGCAGTGTATTCCTCTTCTGTTCCCAGGATCCATTGTGTCACTGAAACTTCACAAAAAAGAAAATAAGGAGAAAAATCTTTTAGCCTATTGCCATTCGAAGTTTATGTGCAGGAATGGCTAGATAAAATCCTGTATCATGTGCCTTATGATCATCATGATCCCTTCTTTCCTTTAAAACTTCTGTGTATTATGGAATAGCTTAATATAGGTTAAGTTCCATTTTAATTACTCTGAAAGCCAAGTTCGTATACTAAACTCTTTTATGCCTCTTCTCCAGGGGCGATGTGTAGGGGTGCACACAGGTGCACATTTACCCCGAGCATGGCAGTGCACCCTCCGCAAAAAGGTGCCACTGACACTGTCAGCGGCGCCTGCAGGCAGTCACTGCTCACCACCCTGCCACCGACACTGCCGGTGGCACCTGCGGGCAGTCCACAATCACCGCTGGCCGACACTGCCAGTGGTGCCTGCAGATGGTGCTTACCAGCCGCCTCCCCCCACCCCCCCCACAGTGCCGGTAGCATCTGTGGGAGCTCCGCGCTTACCACTGCTGGGCTCCTGCCACTGTGCTCCTGCCACCGCCAGTGCAGCCGTGCCCCCCCAGCTGCCAGAGGCATGCACCGTTCATGCTCTTCTCTAAATTGTAATTTAGGTGATTTATGTCAAGGGACAAAATCAATTGCATTAAGATATTCCTATTACTCCTGAAATATTCCTATTAATCACAAATATTTCCACAATTGATGTGGAACAGAGAGAGAATGTCTATGTGTGTGTGCACATGTATATGCGTGCACATGCATGTGCATGTGCAAACTTGGAATTAAGATGTGTGGATAATACAAAATTCAGATCTATGTAATGCATGGTTTAGTGACAATTTTCTGTTGAATTGGAATAAAAAATTGACATGCACAGTCAGTAATTATTGGCTGAAAAAGGGAAATTTTGAAATCCAACTTCCTGTCAGCTGTTGCTGAAAGATTGTGTCATCTTTGCAGATCAATTTTGACTAAGAGTATATATGCGTGTGCGTACAGTAGTGTAACTGAGGGATGACCAAGGCAGCAGCTCTGGCCACAACCTTGGGGGGAGATATAAAGCAACTGGCCAAGTTCACAATGACAAATTATGGGGGAGGGTGGTCACACCACAGGACAGGCTAGGGATACAGGCTGACTTGGACATGCTCTCAAGGTAGGCCAACCAAAAGCTGATGGCTTTCAATGCAGAGAAGTGCAAAGTGTTGCACCTTGGTAGGAAGAACCCCCAGCATACTTACAGGCTTGGCACTGCTACACTCGCTAGCACCATGACCGAAAAAGACTTGGGGGTCTTGATTGACCACAAGATGAATATGAGCCACCCGTGTGATGCTGTGGCTGGCAAAGCTAACCAAATTCCGGTGTGCATCCACCGATGCATCTCAAGCAAAACCAGGGAAGCCATCTTCCCACTTTACTCAGCCCTGGTGAGAGTGCAGCTGGAGTACTGTGTTCAGTATTGGTCCCCCAACTTCAGGAAGGATGTGGAGAAGCTTGAGAGAGTCCAGAGGAGAACCACTCATATGATCCAATGCCTGGAGGGAAGGCTGTACGAGGAGAGGCTGAGGGACTTGGGACTCTTCAGTCTGGAGAAGAGAAGGCTCAGGGGGGACTTGGTGGCAGCTTACAGTTACATAAGAGGGGTACATCAGGACCTGGGAGAACATCTGTTTACCAGAACTTCCCAAGGGATAACAAGGTCTAATGGCCATAAACTCCAGGAAGGTCAATTTAGACTAGACATAAGAAAAAATTTCTTTATGGTACATGTGTCCAGGTTCCAGAACAAACTCCCCACCAGAGGTGATGCAAGCACCTACTCTGGACTCCTTCAAAAAACAGGTGGATATATTTCTGGCTGGGGTCACTTGATCCCAGCTGACTTCCCACCTATGGCAGGGGGGCTGGAACTGATGATCTCATGGGGTCCCTTCCAGCCCCTAATGTCTATGAAATCTATGAACTGTTCCCACAGTGGCAGCTAATTTGAGGATGCCCCAGGCAGAGCTGCGCTTCAATTCTTCTGTGCGTGTGTGTGCACATGTGCATGCACATGTGTTTTGAGGGGGTAAGAGGTAATCAATTTACAAACAAAAAAATCCTACTAAATTCTTCCATCAGGTGATCATGGATTATATGAGCATTTCTATTTGAAGTAGTAAGTAACATTTAAGAACCCCGTTTCTGCCTGCCACATGTTGACCATAGTTCATAAATGTGTAGTTTTGTTGGGTGACCAAAGTGCTGCAACCAGTTATATCACCAGTCAGTGTCCTGCAGGAAACAGCTGGATAAAAC